TAGTGGACTCCCCCCGCGGGGGGAGTCCCCTCCCCCACAACAACGGGGGAGGGAGCGCGAGGCCCGCCCGTTACACGGCGGGCCGGTGCGGGGGGCGCCCAGAAGTCATAGCTCTGCTACATCCTGGGCGTCCCCCAAGTCAAGCACCGCGCAGGTCACCGTGTGGTTTTAGTGCGGTAAGCCCAGCCGCCGCAACGCTAGCGGCGGCACCCCGATCGTCTTTAGGGGGGCAGTCCCACATAACCCGGGCCATTTGTAAACTCCCTTCCCAAAGGGGGGCCCGGGTATCCATAAAGGATTTCCACACGTAAAAAAAAAAAAAAGGCTCGCGGAGCCGAACAGGCCCGGAAGAAGAACAGTGGAAGCCATCCTTCCGAGGCTGGACGGATGGTTGGATCGGGTAGGAGCTAGGGCGTCCTTTAGAACGACACAGGTGCTCTCCGGACATGGATGTTTCGGGGAGTACCTGTGTCGTATAGGACGAGACGAAGACGCGAGATGTCGGCATTGTGAGGCGGACAGGGACTCGGCGCAACACACTCTTGAGGAGTGCCCAGCCTGGGAGGTGAAGCGCCGAGTCCTGTCTGATGCAATTGGGGACGACTTATCACTGGGGGCTGTCAAGGCCCTGGTGAATGAGGAGGGAGCGTGGGCGGCTTTCTCGGAATTTTGTGAGAAAATAATTTCACAGAAGGAAGAGGCAGAGAGAGAGCGAAGAGGCGAGGTAGACCCTCCGACACAGCAGGATGGAGGCGGTGGCGCTCCGCCAAGGAGATATAGGAGAGGCGGGCGTCGGCGTTTAGCACATTTGAGGGACTAAAACACCACACACACATAAAAGGTGCAGAGGACGTAGGGTCCCATCTTAGGCGTACGGGTGCCGCTTGAAGAATAGCCCCGGGGTAGCCCCTGCCTGTCGTAAAAGGCGACTAAAAGGGGAGGAGGAAGATAGGTCTGGGACCTTAGGGGTGGGCGCAAGCTGGAGACTTGTGACTCACCCGCCCCCACAACAACGAGGGGCGCGGCGGGAGGCCCGGTGGCACCCCCGCCGCAAATTTGGAGGAGCAGGCCCTTTTTAGGGCCAATGGAGAAGGAGGCCCTTGTCAGGGCCGTGCCCAGGAACTGGGCGCAGAGGTGCGCGAAGACTACGCGCGGCGCGGGGGCTGCCGAGCAGTGATGCGACTGTGTTCCCTCGGCCGTCCCCAATAGCGCATAGAAGTCCACCCCCGGTGGTTTTAGTGCGGTAGGCGTCTCCATTGCACTACTGGTCCCATGCAGTGATGGGAGATTGCACGGAATCGTCTGCTACGGGAGACTTCGTGCGCATGCGTGAGATGACGTAGCAGCTCGAATCCAATGGTGGATGTAGGTGCCACGTTAAGGGGTCACAGGGGTCCCGTGCATGCACGAAGTATCCATTCCAATAGTTTTCCCGTGTTTATTCTGTGATAGTGTTTGTAATAATACATATTGATAATATAAATCAAAGTCGTAATATCAACCCATCTGCTTCGTTTACTGTTTCTAATAATAATACATTTGTGAACCATGATACTTCCATCAAAAGTTTTCTTCCCTAAATTCGCTTTCAGATTCATTTTCATGTTGGGAACCTTATGCTACCACATAATATGTACGTCAGTGAGGCTGCGCAGAAGTTTGCTCAATGCGCGTGCGCGTGAATTCCGTGCGATCTCCCATCACTGGTCCCATGGGTGTCAACTGCCCAGGGACCAGGGTGACGAGTCCCACACACCCCCCGTCTCTGTCCCAGCAGGGCGGGGGGACGGTCCATGAGGATTTCCACCGGGTCAAAAAAAAAAGGTGAAGATACGTTTACAAGACCACAAATAATTATAAAAATATCCTCACAAAGATGTACCAAAGTAATAGGAAACCTACCTTTCAATATATTAAATACTTTCAGTCTCTGATTACTACGTTCAATATGAACTCTCGCTTTTGCTATTTGTTGGCTAAGAAGTGCTTCTTCTGCTGATAACTGACTCTTATTTTTTAAGAATGGAGGCCTAACTATTTGAATGTCATGTTCTTTGCATTGTACATCTATAAAAAATCCTCTATCAACCATTATTTTATCACCTTTTTCTAGGAAATTGAACAAGGTGCTTTGTTCAAAAATTGCTTTGTCAGAAAATCGACCTCCGTAGCAACGACTTACGAATGAAATTGTTCCAGCTGGTGTAACACCTGTCATGAACTTTAAAGTATAGTTTGATTTATAATTGGAGTATGTTATGGCTTGACAGCATACAGTGGCATACAGATTTAGGTTTTTGCAAAAGTATTTCCGTACAATCTAATATTATGCGAATATCTGGAAATGGAAGGAAACAGTTTGGAATATTTTTAAGGATCTCTAGTTTTGAGGGCAATGTATGCAACCTTCGAAACATACACGCAGTACGCTAATCATGTTTACAAAAATCCTTCGACAAGTTTTTACACAGTAGCAGTTGAATAAAGTGGCCAAAAAAGCAAATGAAATATTTTGTTTCAATTTGATAAATGTCAGCATCACTTTTTCCTCTACTAATAACTTACTCTTAGCATTGTTATATACTTTCTTGACATTATTCACTATTACATGAAATATTTCAAAATTGGGAATTCCTGTAACTGTACTTAGTTCGCGATCGCTTTTTATTTGATAATAATATGAAATATATAAATCCGTTTGAATACTGATGTCCCTTATTTTAGTTTTCTCCTGATCTGTGATTGATAACATCTCATTGTTTCCCGCATTGTCAATTTCAACGTTATTGATATCGATGGCAATAGCCCCGTCTGTATCTTTCACAGTTTCTTTCTTTTTCTTTTCGATTGCTTTTTTTGCTTCTCGTTCTGCAATTCGATTAGTCCTGGCTTTTGAAGCAGTAGAAATGACCTTTTGCATGGGAAGTTGAAGTTTTGGAATAGCAGATTTTTTTAGACATGGCTTTTGACATTCTAGCTCTAAGAAAAATTAATACAAACATTTATAATTTCAATTACATTTTTATGTTCATATAAACAACGTAAACAAAATTGAACAGAAAGTAATCATTTTACCTGGGAAAATGTAGTCGCTAACATTAAAATGTAAGGAGCAAATTTTCATTCTGCTCGTCACCGCTTTTCCAGTGCGTATAGCCATTATCCAAGCTTTGCGCTTATCAATTTTTTCTATCGTGCCGAACATATTTGTAACTTCCACTGTATACTTTCCTTCCTTTGGAAATTTGTGAAAAGATATTTCCCGATTGTCACAAGCACGAGATTTACAGCCATACACACAACAGTACTCGCGGTTAGAAATTTTTATTTTTGAAGAAATTACTTTCATTTTGTTCCGACAATTTTTTATAGTCCACAATTAAATATTTAGACACTCCATGAGGTTTCCCAAGGATGATCTAGTAAAGGCATCGGTTCAGACTGTTGCAATGCTTCTTTGGTTTTCTTTTTCCAGGAGCACTCGACATCAATGCCTGACAATTCGTCAAGCTTCGAAAGTTCGAGTCTTAAAATATACAAAGAAATGAAACATTAGAATAGAAAAATCTTAATTATGTATTAATTAATCGTCTTAGAATAATTTTTTAAACTGTATGCGAATTGACAGATGTATATACGATAAACTTATTATATTTTACAACTTTCTGTTCATTGAGGTTAGAAAAAAATATTAGTTGTCAAAGTCATAAGTATCCTCTAAATCCTCTATCTTTAGTTACACTACATGTATATCATACAAAAGATTATTATAAAAAATTATGAAATTCAACTTATATAAAAACACACATACCTTTGACAAAACATGAGTGCTGCGATAACATGTTTACATCGTCCACTGTTTCCTGCTTTGCAGGAGCAACACATTTTAACGATTTCTCCATTCGTTGAGATACTTCCTTCAATTTTGTGAGGAATTCCACTTTTCAAGCTAGATGTTGGTAAACATCTTGCAATTAATTGTATTGTTCCTTCTTTGCCTTGCGGTAAACGACCACAAGATACGACATGTCCAGCTTGTAATAATTTCTCTCCTTCCACGATATTCCGAGATGATAAAGTTGAATCTACATATTTGCAGATTTCTAACAATGTTAGAAACTTGAATCGCATCACTGATTTATGGCTTTTTTTACAATTTTATCAACAAAACTGAGCGAACCACGTATGTTCCGCGTGTTTACGAGCCGGCTCAGATCCGCCATATTGGCTAGCTGACATCATCATGCCCGTTACCAATAGGGAGTGGGACATCAATAGGCTTCCTATTAAAAAATTCGGTAAAAATGCAGATGAGGGGAGGCCGCCCCGATGACCTTGACCTTGACATATGTTGTCAAGGTCTCCCTCCTGAGTAACCTTCAAGAGGTTTTAGCCGTCGCTCTTAGTTCATTAAAAAGTTATATGCATACAAAGTTGATTAAATAAAGCATAATTTTACGAATCATATGTAGGATAGGTGGCGAGTACCGTACTTTAGAGCATAGGAATCTTTATTGCTGTTATTTTGTATGCGAGAGTTGGCAGTAGCGAGTAGGCGACAAGGCGGTGGCGCGCGGAGTTAGTAGTAGTTAGTTGAGTTGCGAGTCAGAACGACCGAGAGAGATTGTCTGGCGTTGCGCTTAAGAAAGTTAATAAACCAGATATACTTATTCAGACGACACGACTACCTTTCCTTACCTATAAATATGGGGGCTCGTCCGGGATAGTGATCGAGAATCGTGCCGAAGAAGAAGACGAAAGGCGAAAGACGAATATATCGTTCTGTACGTTAGCAAGACGACGAAAGACGAAAGACGAATAACGTTCTGTACGTTAGAAGGAAGACGAAGGACGAAAGGCGAAAGGCGAAAGACGAATAACGTTCTGTACGTTAGAAGGAAGACGAAGGACGAAAGACGAAAGGCGAAAGACGAAAGACGGAAGACGAATAACGTTACGTGCGTTAATAAGACGACGAAGAACCAGAAGAAGACGGAAGAGCACGGGTACGACGAAGTTCGTAGAAGGCCGAAAAAGGAAAACAGGTACGACGACTAAAAGAGTATACGGTACCCAGAAGACGAAGAAAGAAAAGAAGCAATTCCGAGGGAAGGTCACTGAAATCGGGAAAGACGCAACAAAGAGGTTAGTTTTCACGCAGCTCAGCAGTGCCATCGTGGTAGTACGTGTAGGTGTAGGTGCAACCGGAAGTTGACTTTTAGAAGAAAACAGTTGACAGTGTGGGTACACGATGGAAAATTTATCGCAAGTACCGCTAATACGAACCAAGATTAAGGTTGCGCCGCGTGCCGCGATTCTCGCGCTGCATAACCTCATTTTTGAGTACGACGGGGATCGAAATAATCGTCAACGATTACGCGAATTTAAAGGCTTTAGCTTTGCCCAGGACTCTGCTAAATATCGGGCGAAGATGGATTACGCGTGCAGGCTTTCGATTGGTGATCTGGCTTCTATTTGTAATATCCTTGGTATCGATTATGCAGGAAACAAGGAACAACTGCGAGAACGGGTCATTCGAGGCTTGATGGATCTGAATTCCTTGAACACCGTAGAAACTGACGGCGACGAAGACGACGAACCTAAGGACGATACAAACCCACTGAGCGAACAGCAAGATGCGGAAGGTGAAACATCGGAAGACGAAACACACGAAGAAGAGGCAGATAGTGTTCACAGCTGTCTGCGACAGACGAAGGATCGTAAGCTGAAATTCGCATTGAGCTACAGGGACGTCGAGGATTCAATCCGAGCATTTGATAGCGGTGATAACTACCCCATCGAACGATGGATCGCTGATTT